AACTAAATTATAGAAATAATTTGTGTTCTCTTCAAATTGCCTCCTATTTATGGCAGTTGTGTAAATGAGTGACCTCCAGAATGTCTTGGTGCCCTGCTCAGGTCTTACTATTTCAAGACTGTAGGTTCCTTTAGGCAGGCAGTCCATCTCATATTTGGTCTTCCTCTTTTCCTGCTGCCTTCAACTTTTCCTAGCATTATTGTTTTTTCCAGCAAATCTTGCCTTCCCATGATATGCCAAAGTACTACAGCCACAGTTTTCTCAATTTTGCTTTAGAGAGTGTTCAGACATGATTTGATTTAGGACCCCCTTGTTCATCTTTATGACGTTTTAGGGTGTTCACAGAGCTCTCCTCCGACACCATATTTCAAATAAGTCTATATTTTTTCCAGCAAGTCTTGTCTTCTCATGATGTGTCCAAAGTATGAAAGCCTCAGTTTTGTCATGACAAAACATTTTACTTCATTTTTACCCTTTCAATGACCAAACAATATAATACACTATTATTCCCATTCCAGAAACAGGAAATGGCAGCTAGGAGATAATTGATTTATCCATTGCTTTATTTTCATCTGAGAATAAGAATTTGAGCTCAGCATAAAGCAAGATGCCTGTGTTCTGCTCTAGACTATGGAGGATGGAAGCCTAGAAGTGTCACTGGCATGTGGACTTCTTCCTAGGTTATAAAGAACAGGTCTGGTTGGCTAGAGCAAATGGATTTGTAAGCTAAGGATTTCTTTATTATAGGTAAGAGAAGAAAATAAGATACGAGAAAACCTTGTGCGCTTCAATTCTCTTCCTTTTCCTAATGGCCACCTTAACAAGAAAGTAATCTATGCTAAAGACAGTTTTCCTTGTGTAGTAGCACTGCTGAATTTCCTCTTTGCCATTAAGCATACTCACATTGTCCACCGTTTCATGTAGGAAATGAAGAATCCACTGGGACGCTGAGAGCAGCAGTGCTACAGAGCTGCCAGCTGCATTACCGGATATTTGCTGTGCCCACGAAAATAATATTCAAGTTTTGTCAATAGCTCTAAGAATTAAAGGATACATCTTGCTTTTGCCAAGAACAGATGCTGCATTTGAGAGAGAGCTGGAATTACATGCATTTTATGGATATGGGTTGGGTAGTGAGGGGTAGGCAAAGACTTCGTATTACAGAGCAGCTTGGATAATTTAATTTCAGAGCTAACCGTGACCTAGCAACATTGATATCCAAGGCCTAGACTTTGGCATCCTGCTACTGTATCCCTGCCATTTTGTGTGTTTCTGATTCTACTTTTCTGCAGAAGGTCACATCAGATCATAGACTGATTGAGTTGGAAGGGCCTGTAAGGCCATCGAGTCCAAAGCAAGAACCCAAATCAAAGCAGATCTGACAGATGGTTCTCCAATTTTCCCTTAAATGCCTTGAGTGTTGGAGCGTTCACCACTTCCCGAGGTCATTGATTCCATTTTCATTCTGCTCCAACTGTTAAGATGTTTTCTCTGATATTCAGCCTAAATCTGATTTCCTGTAGCTTGAGCCCAATATTATGTGTTCAGCATCCGGGGATGATTGAGAAAAGATCCTGCCCCTTCTCTGATCCTACTATGGAAGGATCAGAGAAAAAAATAGCTAAGAGATGCACACTACCTGCTGTGTAGGTGAAAATGACAATCAAAAATACCTTCTGCACATACTTTCTAGGGAAAGAGCAATAATTTGGGAACACGAACAAGTGTAGGTGATTTTCAGTTCACTCCCTTACCTTGGATGTACCTTGAAAAACTCTTAGCCCCTGAATCTAGCAATCCTGTTGCCGTTACAGATTAATGCTGTAATTCTGTGCATAAACATGTTCTGAGGGCATCTTGCTTGGCAGCGCACCATGAAACATTTGCATGGAAAAACAAGTGTTTCAGATTTATTCAAGGGCACATCTGTGTAGTCCGTGCTGTTTGGCGATGAGACCGTTTGGAGAGCTGACAGCAGAAAACTGCTAAGTGTAACTGCTTCAGGCCTTTCACTCTGAATCCTGGAATAGAATCCTGAATTGTAACAAGAAGCCTGCAGATCTCCTAGATTTAATGACACATTTTTATACCGGCAACATGACAGATCATAGCCCAAACCTTTTCTGTGGCCCCCAGAAATGCTGCCATAAAGAAGAATTTGCTAATCATCCTTCTGCTGATATGGTAGGGGAGAAAAAAATGAAGTCCAAGTCACACCGAGATAGTGGACAAACACAAACCTCCTAGTCGGAAATGCTTAAATCCTTTCAGCATCCACATAATCTCTGTTTATCCCTGGCCGTTTGAATGCTCTTTTGCCAACAATGAAAAGGGACAATTCTCTTTGTCTTGGTCACCGAGTGCAGACTCAACAGACAAAAAAAAATATTTCCATTGCTGGAAGCCAAATTTTGCCAAAGATAGCTAACAGGGTTGACATTCATGGGTTGGTGAATGGAAATGTTTTATTTGTGCTTGATCCATCACCAACAGGCCTTCACTTCCATAGTTCTCTTGAAAATCCGTTGTCTGTTCTGGTATTTCCCATATTTTCACTTGCAGACATCGTAGGCTGTGATGTATTTGATTCATCTTGCTGGGCTCCAGATAGACCAATGGGCTTCAGTCAGCACCCCCACTCTTCTCACTACCTGTGGCTGCCCCAGGAACAGGGGTTATATCATCAGCAGACTTCTGAATTTCTAGGCTCCAACGATGTGGAACGGGCACATGACTGTATTTTTGCCTTTTGAAGAAAACAAAATTCCTCTCTCTCCTCCTCAATAGATAGATAGATGTTAATATCTGCACCTCTTCTTTTAGACTATACTAGCTCCACCAACACACAAAACCATTGTAAGAATCAAGTATAAATTTAATTTTGTTAACAGTGGTCAAATAAAAATCTCAAAATAGTAAAAGTCAAACCATCTCTATAATGAAATCAAGGTGTCAGCAGTGATGAAATACACTTACTGTCAACCCTCGACTTACAAACGGCGCTAGTTACAAACATTTCGACTTACAAACCACTCTGAAAGAAAAATATTGACTCGACTTGCACACTTAGATTCGAGTTACAAACCGAAAAAAACACATGGGACGAACCGAAAAGGGGGGGAAAAGTGAGAGAGGCATTCTGGCTTGCAAAGCCTAGGTCAATTAACACAACATGCTTTAAAACATGCTTTAAAATTGGCTTCGTTGAAAAAAAAAGATTTCAAAAGTGCTTTTAAAACTGTTCCCTGCCTCCCCCCTCCTTTCCTGAACTTTTCTTGACCTAAGAAAAAAACAAAAAAACATATCCCCCTCTAGTGGCAGAAAGCGGAATAGCAGCTTCCCATTAGTTTCTATGGACGGAAACGAGCAGATACGGATTAAATGGTTTTCAATGCATTCCTATGGGAAATGCAGATTCGACCTACGAACTTTTCGACTTACAAACTGCCTTCCAATACGGATTAAGTTTGTACGTCGAGACCCCACTGTATTAGGAGCACGCTTAGATTCCCAGAAGACTTTTTGAAAGAAATACTCTACGCCATATCCTTGAAACCTAGCCGTGAATGAGACTGAATGACTGTCTTAGGGAGTAAATTCCAGAACTGATTCTTCTTTAGGAATCGTCTATAGATTTGTCCAGAGTGGATTTGATTTAAGTCAAATTGATTTAAATCACAATTTACATTTTAAAATATTGAATGTCTTTGATGATTCAAATAAAAATATTTTTTTTACGATTTAAATTTCAAAATATTTATTTTTATCCACTCTGGATTTGTCTGTTATTTATGCTGCCATCTGTAAAGTACTCTGAGCACATAGATGGAAGTGCCCTCTCTTATACTGATTTGCCAATTCTTCCTTCTTTCAGAAATGAAATTTCAACCCTATACTGTACTCATTTCTTATAAACCTTCAGTCCATATTGGATTACAGTCCTGATCCTCTCCAAGCAGGATGAGCCAATGGTCAGGGACTGTGGGAGTGGTGCACCACATATTAATGAAGCCTAGGTGTTCTGTGCTTCTCTTCCTATATAGCCAAAGCTTGCTTTATATCCAAATAGAAATAAGAAATCTTAATGTTTTTCTTCCCACTCTTAATTTATACAATTTGGAAGGACTTCAGAACTCCAGTTCTACCTCCCCACTCACATGCTTACTTATAAACTGGCACATCAAGGCTTCTTTTGTCTTAGAATGCATAGTCAGTTTGATCTGGAGAAAATGAACACAAGTCCTCATGAAAAAAAAAACCTGGTTCACAAAGAAAAGATGAATCAGCATCCCTTAAGGCGGTGGTCCCCCACCTTGGGCCTCCAGATGTTCTTGGACTTCAACTCCCAGAAATCTTGGCCAGCACAGGTGATGGCGAAGGCTTCTGGGAGTTGTAGTTCAATAACATCTGGAGGCCCAAGGTTGGGGACCACTGCCTTAAGGGTTAGGGAGGAGGCGAGCTGCTGCTGACCTTACTGGTTTCCCCCACCCCACACAAATGCTAAAAGGTTTGCATACCCTGAGCTTCTGCTTTATAGCAGTGGTTCCCAACCTCGGGTCCCCAGATGTTCTGGGACTGCAAATCTCACAAATCCTAGGCAACAGTGCTAGTGGTAAAGGCTTCTGGGAGTTTTAGTCCAGAACATCTGGGGACCCAAGTTTGGGAATCACTGCTTTACAGCCTGAACCATCTGACACCCCCCCCAAAAAAAACACAGTATCCCTTTGAATTATGCAGTGTTTTCAACTATATTTGGGAAGGAAAGAAAGAATGATGTTTGAAAGATCTTTGGATATTTTTTACTCTCCCCCCCACCTTTAATCACAGCCCATTTTGGTTTTGAAACCTCTGCAGTCTTTCTCCCTTGTCAGTAGCAATTGATGGGGAGGAACGTAACTTTTTTTTTTTAATCACGGGGAGGTAGGAGGGAGATCACTTTATTCCCCCATTCTTCCTTTATTTTGCAGTTCATTTTCTTTCCCATCTGTTTCGTTTTTCAGATGTGAGTCAAACTTCCATCACAGGGGAACAGTATCAGCTCTTAGGTACAGTATTGCAAAGGGTTTGTGTGTGTGTGTTTTTGGAAGTGTGTGTACATCTGTGTTCTCGGTTGTTGAAGGGCTGTCTGACCTAAATCCAGTTGCTTGTCCCTGCCAAAATAGAGCCACTTGTTGACATACTTTTCAGCAGTTGATCTGATGGGTCTGCCCTAGGGTGGGACTGGCAGAAGACCAGTAAAGATACACAAGCAGCCCATTACCTGGAGCTACAGTACATCATTAGGCAGGGGAAAAATAATAATATTGTTTCTGTGTGATTTCCTAATACAGGAAATTGTGTGCATGTGTGCAACATCCCCTGTCAAAGCAATGATTTTTTCATTGTATCCCTTTACTCTTTACTCCTCTGTGTTTGCTACAGCTTTGGGGGGAATATTATGGGGGTGGAAATTGAGACAGCATCAGTGTTTGGGAAGGTGAGAAGTTCAGAAATTGACAGGAGATGCTCCCATTTTAGTGGCTGCAGGTTGTTGCTTTGTCCCCACATTCTTTAAGAAAAAGCATATTGACCACTTCAAAACGTAGTGTGGCTTCCTAGGACATTTCTGACCCTAGGCTACTACTGTACTGAACATAGCAGATACAGTAAGTATTTTCGAAGGCTTTCACGGCTGGGATCCGATGGTTGTTGTAAGTTTTTCAGGCTGTTTGGCCGTGTTCTGGTGGTTTTTCTTCCTAACGTTTTGCCAGTCTCTGTGGCCGGCATCTTCAGAGGACAGGAGTTAGAACTCTGTGTCACACCA